AGGGTCCTGCTGTTCCTCTGACTGAGGGAGACAGTGTGACACTAAACTGCTCCTATAAGGAAAAATATGCAAAGGAGTCTACGTCCAATTTCAGTGCTGCTTTCTACAGAAATGGTGCTTTTATTGGAAATAGGTCTGAAGGAAGGTTGAGCTTTATTCATGTGTCCAAGGAGAACGAAGGCTCCTACAAGTGTGAACATCCCACAAAAGGAGAGTCACCAGAGATTTGGCTGGAGGTGAGAGGTGATGGTGATGGTAGGTTTCATGAAGGTTTTGTCTGATGGCTTTTAGGAACAGTTATCTGGTAGTCTAGGAGTAAAACCAAAATCAGAACAGTCATCGTCCTGTTTCTGTTTTATAGTGCCTACATTACCCATAATGCACCACAGCAGCATATAGTTCAGTCAAACATTTGAACCATAGAGTCAGATTAACCTTTAAGCTTTTTCACCCACCTACACAACAATATTCCTTAACTCCCGGTTTTCCTTTGATTTGACAAAGGCAAATAAATTGTGGTGCTCTAAGACATGTAGATATCTTCCAGCATTGATCGTGCCTCTTCAGATGTGCAAACTGTCAGTCCCATAGGGCACAAATGCACACCCTGCTTGTCTTTAGTTCAGAGGTCAAAGGTTCCATGTTTTCCTTAAATAATTTCCAATTTTGATTCATCCAACCAGGGAATAGTTTCCTGATTTACCTGAGTCCATTTTATATTAACTTTAGCACAGAGAAGATGTTTCTGGATCGTGTTTGCATCATGGTTTCTTCTTTGTATGTTAGAGCTGACAAAACACCGTGCACTGTCTTTGCACTCAGTGATTTCTGTTCCTCAGTCCATGCAGTGATTTCCATGACAGCCTGTTTTTAATGAAATGCCAGATGACAGCCAGGTTTGGACTGGTAATCTGGCATACTGAGCACATCCCTAAGAGAGGAAAATAAAAATAAACTCACAATACGTGCAGAAAAATGTGTAAAGTAAACAACATCTTAGCTGTCAGGGCTACTGGTGCACCATCAAGGGTAGTACCAGTAACAGCTAGTAACAAGCCCGGCCCAAGCCGAGATGTGCAGGAGGAGGGACCATGGTCGTGACAAAAGAGTGAGGAAGGTAAAGTTAACGTAACAGCACTTGGCATCTACTCTAAAGTTGTTCCACAGTTTTTAAATGTATTTTTAGAAGCAATCTTTTGTGCCACTACATGAAATGTCAATTTTCTTTATTTACTTTTCATGTAACATTTGGTCCTAAATAGAAAAGATGATGACAAAACCGTTTCTATGTCACAGCTCGAGCTCCGTCTATGACTGCTCCTCCTCTGATGTCTCTTCCCAGGCTGGCGTACACAATCTTTTTGTTCCTCCTGTTCACTGGTATACTCATACTGTGTATATCCATGGGCAAAAAGTTCACTCAAGGTAAGAGTAAAACACAAAAAAAATCATACTGAGAATATATTAATTTTCCACAGGGTCAAAGGTCAGACACAACACCAAACAAATAGCTTAGCTGCCAAACAAATGACAAAAAATCAATCATAAAACTATTTTTCAAACTTATTTTGTCAGTCTAACAATAATTCAAGTATGAAATCAGGTGATAGATACATCTGATTGAAAATAACTTAAAAGCAGCAGCAACACATTAACATTGCTGTGAAAGATTAATGTTTTCCATTTGCAGCCTCCTCCAGTTGGACAGTAGATGCCAACTGACCACAGTGGTCTCAACT